TGATTCTATAAATAATAATATTCTATAAATAATAAATTATTGTAATAATCTTGTGTTAATATTCTTTTAAATTTTTATTTAAAGATATGCATTATATTTTTCAATTCTAATTTTTATAATTATAAAATTCAAACTATAATAATAAAATTTTCTAAAATTAGAATATAATTATAAATAATTTATAGTTAAATATAATTATTTATTCTCATTATTATTGATTACTAAATGATTATGTTAATTATTTTGTCCAATTATATGATTATTAATTTAAAAATGAAATTAATTTTAAAGAATAAAGTTAATAAATAATTTTTTAAAACAAAAAAGGACCTAATTAAAAAATAAGTGAAACTATAAGGACCTAATAAAAAGGAAAAAAAATGAAAGGACCTAATTAAAAATATGTGAAAGTAAAAGGATCTAACAAAAAAATTTTTTTTATAGGAACCTGATTAAAAATCAGATGAAATTATAAGGACCTGGAAATAATTATCCCTTGATTATTTGTCTAATGTAATAGGCGAGGCAAAATAGTGGCCATTAATTGCGCCAAGCGGATTTCGTACGCAAATCAATTTGGATGAGGGCCGAAATCAGAATGCAGTTGCTTTCAGTCCCCATGAAATGGTACCAATGCGTATATTTTTTTTCCCGGAAACATCAATAAGATGTGCGGAGACGATTCACATATTTGATTTCCCAATATAATCCACAAGAAGAATTATGAGATGCATAGAAGCAGAAAGAAGGCAAATGGGTAACTTGAAGTGAAAAACGATACCACGCAGGACTATTGTCAAAAAGAGTATCCAATACGCATTTACAGGAGCATGCTGGCTCCCGAGATGGCTTATTGCGGCCTCCAAAACGATGTCGTAAATCAAGCTCCGTGATATGCATATGTTTCGTGATTAAATTTATTTTTTCTTTTAAAAACCCTCGGTCGCCTAGGAAACAACGAGTAAGACCACTAGCCATTTGACATCTGGCACATCCACCATGCTGCGGCCGCTAGACGTCATCCAAAGATATAAATTTTTTTTTATACAATTCAAAGATATAAATTCATTTTCTCAGTTCGGTCGCCTTGAGGCTTGAGGTGACCCCACTCCAATTTGTCCCCGACGCCTGGCCACTCGAGCTTTACCATTGCCAGAGCCTCCTCCACTACGAGATTGGATCTGGTCAGCCACCACATCGCTCCACTACGCCCTCCTCACCCTTCTGCGACTTGCTGCCTGCAATGATTCATTCGCTCTCTTTCTCTTCTCTCTGGTGAGCTATTAACTCAACCCCGCAGCTTAATTCACTGGTTAATCCCCTTTTGAACATTGTTGCCGGTTGCCTGTGATTCTGCCTTCCCTGAAACTATAGCTGTTTAGAATTTCTGGCTAACTAATACTCCATTTTGTGCTTTTATTTTTTGCTTCCGTTATAGCTACATCTAGTTGGTGCGAATCCAGTTTGGCCCCAGATGGTGTGCTAGGCACTCTCCGGAGGTTCATTTAGGATAAGGATTTTCGGTTATATTTCGTGCTTATGGATACTTTACTCAAAACACCTAACAACCTTGAATTTCTGCACCCACTTCACGGTTACTCGGAAAAATTGAGTAATCCTGCCCCCTCTAGGTCCCAAAACCAGGAGCTGAGATTTTTCCCCAAGAAATCACATATGAAATGGGGTGATTTTTGTACGAGGGCTAGCAGCAGTGCTCTTTTGGAGCTTGTTCCCGAAGTTAAGAAGGAGACTCTGGATTTTGAACTTCCTCTGTATGACTCGTCGAAGGGCGTCGTGGTGGACCTCGCGGTCGTGGGAGGGGGCCCTGCAGGGCTTGCAGTTGCGCAGCAAGTTTCCGAGGCAGGTCTTTCAGTTTGCGCAATTGACCCAAATCCCAGATTGATTTGGCCTAATAATTATGGTGTTTGGGTAGATGAATTTGAAGCTATGGACCTACTGGATTGCCTCGACACCACTTGGTCTGGCGCCGTTGTTTTTATTGATGAACAAACGAAGAAGGATCTTGATAGACCTTATGGGAGGGTCAACAGGAAGCAGTTGAAATCAAAGATGTTGCAGAAATGTATTTCAAACGGTGTTAAGTTTCATCAAGCTAAAGTTATTAAGGTAATTCACGAGGAGTCAAAGTCTGTGTTGATCTGTAATGATGGTGTCACCGTTCAGGCTGCTGTGGTTCTTGATGCAACCGGCTTCTCAAGATGTCTTGTTCAATACGATAAACCCTATAATCCAGGTTACCAAGTGGCATATGGAATTTTAGCTGAGGTTGACGAGCACCCTTTTGACGTAGATAAAATGGTCTTTATGGACTGGAGGGATTCACATCTGGGTGGTAAGGTGGAGCTGAAAGAGAGAAATAGCAGAATACCTACTTTTCTCTATGCAATGCCCTTCTCATCCAACAGGATATTTCTTGAAGAAACTTCTTTAGTTGCTCGGCCGGGTTTACAAATGGCTGATATCCAGGAAAGAATGGTTGCTCGATTGAAACATCTGGGCATTAAAGTGAAAAGCATCGAGGAAGATGAACACTGTGTCATTCCCATGGGTGGACCCCTCCCTGTTCTTCCCCAAAGAGTTGTTGGGATCGGTGGTACTGCCGGGATGGTGCATCCTTCAACCGGATATATGGTAGCAAGGACCCTGGCTACGGCCCCAATTGTTGCTAACACCATTGTTCAGTGTCTTGGTTCTGATAGAGGCCTTTCAGGAGTTGAACTGTCTGCGCAAGTGTGGAGAGATTTATGGCCAATCCAAAGAAGGAGACAAAGGGAATTCTTCTGTTTTGGTATGGACATCTTATTAAAGCTTGATTTACCGGGCACGAGGAGGTTTTTTGATGCATTTTTTGATCTAGAACCTCGTTACTGGCACGGTTTCTTATCATCAAGACTGTTTCTTCCTGAACTCATTTTTTTTGGTCTATCTCTATTCTCTCATGCTTCTAATACTTCTAGGGTGGAGATTATGGCAAAAGGAACTCTTCCTTTGGTTAACATGATCAACAACCTGATAAAAGATAAAGAATAAGATGAATGCCTACTAATTTGTTGTACGCTATTTGTGTTGGTGCACTTGCACCTGAAGTTTACTGATATTATTGAATGTCAACACATAAGATCAGTTCTTCTTGCTATTATGCTTAGCAACAGCATATCTTGAACCTCCTTTGGGGCGTGCTCATCCTATTTGCAAATGTACATACATTTACGCCTCTTATGGATAAAATTAGTAATTGTTTCCTTGTTGCTCCGCCTTTTATCCTGTTAAAACCCCTCTCTCATGCGATGCATTTAGAGAAAGCTTGAATAAGGATCATTGTATACTTTTCCTGTTAAAATGGACAATGTAATCAATATCTTCCTTATGTTATTGAAATCTTCGTAGTGCGCTTGAATATTGATAGAGAATCAATTCGTAATATTATAGCTCAAAACTGATAACCTTCTGTATCATTAAATTAGTATAGTGGTAGATGATCATCCTGCTTAATGTTCTGTGTCTACGATTTAGTTAGTCAGTCTTGCTCGACATCTGAAATTCAGTTCCTCGCTACTTAGCACTGAGGGAATTTGCTTATGTGGAAATACACTGAGTTGACACGAATCCACTTCCGTACTAGTGAGTAGTGATTTGCTGAAGTTTCTAAGGTGATAGCAGATACCCGGTCGCAATGTGTGTACATACACGCAACGATTACACCCCCTCTTTAAGGTAGCCGGGTCACCCATTGTTCTGAAAACAGATTTTTCACTATCGTGCTCGGAAATTTTACTGATGCTTGCGCGCATTTAATAGTCAACAGGAAGTCAAGAACATAACAATTACTGAGTGCGGATCCTACTTTTATCATTTATTATAGGGATAATTAATCTCCAGGTCCTTATAATTTTACCTGAATTTTAATCAGGTTCCTATAAAATTCTTTTTATCAGATTTTTTTACTTTCATGTGTTTTTAATTAGGTCCCTCTATTTTTTTCCTCTTTACCAGGTCTTTATAATTTCACTTACTTTTTAATTAGGTCTTTTGTAGTTTTAAAAAAATATTTATTAACTTTATTCTGTAAAATTAATTTCATTTTTAAATTAATAATTATATAATTGGATAAAATAATTAATACAATCATTAAGTAATTAATAATTAATCAGAATAATCAATTATACTCAACTATAAATTATTTATAATTATATTCTAAATTTAGAAAATTTTATTATTATAATTTGAATTTTATAACTATAAACATTAGAATTGAAAAACAAATAATATATTTGTTTAACTAAAAATTTAAAAGAATATTAACATAAGATCATTATAATAATTTATTATCTGTAGAATATTATTATTTATAAAATAAAGAATAAAAACTACAAGGACCTAATTAAAAATAAGGTAAAACAACAAGGGCTTGATAAAAAGAAAAAAAATTGTAAGGACCTAATTAAAAACATATGAAATTATAAGGACCTGATTAAAAACTGATTAAAATTATAAGAACTTGTATATTAATTATCACTTTATTATACGCAGTGGTTATGCCTTCAATTTAGATTGCGGTATTGCATCTCAATGAAATCAGAAGCAAAAGGAATATATTTCCATTAGGAGCAAATATCTAAAGTAAAACAAAGTTCTTTCAAAATATATTATTAGAAATACAAAGATACATGTCAACCAAAAAGCGAAAAAAGAAAAAAAAAATGCAGATCAACTGCAGGCACACAAGCACATAGCATCATAGAAAACTGTGGTACTGTACCACACACATTGACCACAATTCACAAAATATTCGTCAATCCCAACCGGGAAAGCAACGTTGGACTCACGCAGTTAAAAGAGGTAATAAGCTTTATGCAAGAGCAAGACCAAAGCGATCGTTTTCGATTTTTATTTTCTTTTTCTAATTCTGGGCACGGACAGCTTATATAATCTGGAATGCGAAGTTATGGTTGGTGGGGTAGGAGGAGCTGGGTGAATCCCTAAGCATTAGAAGGAGGAGGGTGCACAGTGAACCATGTCTGGACTGAAGTGAGACAAAGCGCAATCAAAGCAGCAACGAAGCTAAGAAAGGGGCATGGCTTGCTGAAATCGTGGATAGCTTGAGCCACCCATGTCATCCACATCGTATCGTAACGCTTCTCCAGGTCCCGTCTTATTTTCCCATATCTTTCGGTGTCGGGCACCAAGTCGGTGCTTATAGTATTGAAGAGTTTGGCTACTTCTTCGTCGCTGCCGAGTGCGTTGTGCAGAACCTCCTCTTTCCTCAGATCTTTGACATCCCCTGCATGGTCAATTAGGGAATCCAAAAATGCTACGTAGGAGCTGATCCCGTAGCCGTTCAGGAAATCTGGGCACATCTCGTACGCTATCAAGTTCAAGAACGTAGGAAGGGTAGAGTCGTCCACGACCAGCTTGGGAAGCTGGAGTCTCCCAAAACCCTTCCAAGTCATTGCACAATCGAAACGGATATCTGTGAGTGTTGTACAAATATTTCCCTTGGTTACCGAAATCCCTGCTGCTTTAAGCTCCTGTATGTTCCTGTAAGTTGGAAACTTTGGGAATCCCGATCCAGTGCCTTCCCTATCTTCACTGCTATTACGATCAAGATCACCCACGATGTATTGGCGCAGAAGATGCAGCAAATGAGTTGGGTGATCCACAGTTATTTCCGCCTGTCGAGGTGGCTTGTCGACGCCGATGATCCTGGTCATCTGATGCCGTTGCAAAAACTTTACTGTGTACTCCTTCAACTCTGTCTCCCCTCCCTTGCTCAGCAGCTTGAGTAGTTCATAGGGAAGTTGGTTCTCCAACAAGAGCAGATCCTGCTGCACAAGGACCAGCTGATCTATTTTGACCTTCAGGTCTACCTCTGGACAGTTACTGTCCGCTTGTTGGATGAATCGAAGTACGGCGCATCCATCCATGAGGAATATCCAAGCAAGCTCCTCGTCCTTATCCAGGAAGTCTTCAATGGCGTCCTCGGTGTAGAGCTGCTTCAGTGCCGGGAGCCTCCTCCGAATTTCTGCAAATAAGCATTCAGCACTTTGGGCGGTATCTTCAAGGTACATTGCTGCCCATATCATCTTGTAGTGCTCTCCTTGCTTGAGATTTTCTTGGGTATCTTTACGATGGATGGGCCCGATTGAGACCAGCTTGGGGGAGTAGTACTTGGCAAAGTCCGGCCGATTTCGAAGATAAGGTTGAACTTTTTGTATCTTGGGAGGGGCATTTAGAGTTTGGCCATCCTCCCACGGACGGTTCCCCCTTCCAGGAGTTCGCTTTGCCTCCTCAAGTTTGGCCTTCATCTCTTTAAAGCTGAGCTTTTCATCTTCGAGTCTAGCGAAGCTACTCTGCAAATTGAATAGCGAATTTGATGGGGTTGTTGCTCTATCAAATGAGTTGCATGACCGGTCTGGCGGAGTCATTGTTCAAGTGTTTGAGAGGATTCAGTGTCTGAGCGGAACTTTGGTAAATTCTAGGGCGGTTCAATAACTGCAGCCTCTTACGCACTCTAAATTTATAGTACTAGTAACGCAAAGTACTCTGCATAGAATGAACCTTGCTCCCCCCCCCCCCAAAAAAGAAAGCACAGGAGTATCTCACTTTATTAATATTATGGGTTTGGAACCAAACATACTTCATCCAAGAAAAAGCATTATTTCTACTTACTCATCGCAACATATTCTACCAGCTTTGCTTTGAAACGAAATCTGGAACATTTGTGAGTTGTGACCCTTGTACTTTAACAATCTTAACATTAGGTGAAACAGTGCGCAATGTGATACACGCGAAAACAGGCTTTTTAATCACAAAAATAGTGATATCTAAGAAATAAAAAACTAAATCGAAATGGCCAGTTCAAACCAAAAACTGGTGAATAGGTGAGTGGTTCGGTTTGGTTTAGACATTGAACTAGTTAAGAGCTGAACAGGTAGCAAACCAGTGTGAACCGATGATATGATGAATCAATTTGAATGAATATGTTCTTATTGGTCTTATTTTTTCTCACTCAACTTCTAATATCTCAATTACTATATATTTGAATGAATTTTAATAATAATTTTGATATAGTTATTAATGAATTGTAAAAATTAAAATTTTTAATGTTATTGTTACAACCAAATTATTGTTATGTTTTTTTTTATATTTTTTTTATTTTTAATTAAATTATTTTATTTTAATATGAACGATTTGATACCAAATTAATTCCAATCTAACTAACTAACTATTAAATTACTAGTTTAATAGGTTTAGTGTCCGGTTCAATTTTTTCTGTTCTTTGACTCTATCACCACGTCATGTACTTCAGTCGCCGTCCAAGAAGCAAGACTTGCTGAAAGGTCTCGGATGTTTCCGTCGTTACTTGGATAACAACAAACACCCAAGATGAATCCATTCTATTTGTTGGATGTACAGTCGTGAAAGAGAAGTTCCAGATATTACCCGCGCTTGAAAAGATCTCGTCTAGTACTCCGAACTGCAGGACGCTGATTTATGATGATAAACGAATGATGATACCAAATAATAAGAGGGATTGTAAGTTTCCAGCTGTAAAAATAGATAATGATAAATTAAGGTGGATTGCACACACAATTTAGTTTTTAGTAATTATGCATTAAAATCTCTTTCTTCGTTTAAATTGAAAAAATCAAAATCAAATTTGAATTGAATGAAAACAAATTAAAAAAAAAAATCTTTATCAAGTTAACGAAAATAAATATTAAAATGATCAATCTAGAGTCGTCAACTTTTTACTAACTTTTTAAATTTTATTTCACTAAATTGATTAGTTTTAATATCAACCTTATTAATTTACAGTTCAATTAGCTACAAACTTCTGACAGTCTACTTATAACCTTCTCTTAAATTAGTTATGTTATCTCTAACATAATTACCTGAGAGGCTAACCAATTTAGTCTCGTTCATCAACAATTATACAGGATAATTAGGCATATTTTTATCCTAATTACAAATTGAATTGTAATCCAATATCATAGTAGTTAATCTTAGAGTTTAATTAAAATTTCCTTTGTCAAGATAAATCTTAATTCTCAAATTCACACTTACTGGTAATCAAGCAGGGACAAATAAAATAAGATTAAGTAACCAAAATTTAACATTATAGTATTGTTTGGTAGGAAAATGGAGATGAGGGAAAGAAAAATTTTAATGAGTTCTATTTAAAAATTAAATAAGTGAAATGTCAAAATTTTAATAAAAACAAAAAATAGTATAAATAATAATAATAATAAATTAAAAATTTTAATATTATTTTTTTTAATTTTTTAAACGCAACTTATTAAATTTTCTCCTCCCATTCATTTCTCTTCCATTCCTCTCATGGCAAACGCACCATAAGCATCCTCAATCACTGAAAACAAAGCTCAGTCGACCAGCAAGTTAATAGTTCTCCTAGGTGAAAAAAAAAAAAAAAGCCACACATTACTTTAATCCATCTCAAATTCTCAATCCAGCAACAATAAACTCAAAATCATGAACTATAATGAAATTTAAAAGCAAAGGAAAGAGAAACTGAAACTGAAAAGGTCAAATAAATCTCTCTCCTTCCTCGGCTATTCCATCGGGCTTCCTCAGAACCAGCTTTGATGGCGCCTTCTCCCTCAGCATTGGCGACCTCCTCTCGTCTTCGGTATCCTCCGCTGAACCAGTCGAGCGCCAAAACCAGAGAAGCAGATGGTGAGCAGTTCCCCCAACGCAGCCTCCAAGTCGATGATCAATATATAGTTCACACCGAACCCTACGCTCCTTCCTCCGCAAAGGTGTCGTCTCTGCCTTTTCCTAATTCGAAACTTCATTCTCCTCCAGAGTCCAGACGGCGCGTTGATCGCCGCCGAAGGAAAAGAAGAAAAAGAAAAATTAAATTAAATATAAACTTAAAAGGAAAATAAAATAGGATAATTCTTAAAATTATTATTAACTATCTTTATTTATTTATAACTAAGATATTTATAAGATAATTCCCAAATAATGCTTAAGATTAATTTCTTAAATTAGCTCACAAAAATATTCAAAATACTATTAATAACTCTCTAAAAGATTTATGGCCAATCCAAAGAAGGAGACAAAGGGAATTCTTCTGTGGTATGGACATCTTACTAAAGCTTGATTTACCGGGCACGAGGAGGTTTTTTGATGCATTTTTTGATCTAGAACCTCGTTACTGGCACGGTTTCTTATCATCAAGACTGTTTCTTCCTGAACTCCTTTTTTTTTTTTTTGGTCTATCTCTATTCTCTGGGCACGAATAGGTTAATCCCTAAGCATTTGAAGGAGGAGGGTGCATGACCAACCAGGTCTGGACGAAAGTGAGAAAAAGCGCAGTGCTAGCAGCAAGGAAGCCAAGCAAGGCTCATGGGCTGCTGAAATGGTCGTGCAGAGCCTGAGCCAACCACGTGAAGTATTTTTGATTGTAACGCTCCTCCAGGTCACAACTTACTCCCCTATACTCTGTGCTGGGCATCAAGTCGGAGCTCGTAATGTTGAAGAGTTTGGCCACATCTTCGTCGCTGCCAAGTACGTTGTGGAGAACCCCAGCTTTGCTTAGATGTTTCACATCCTCCGCATGGTCAATCAGGGAATCCAAAAATGCTACGTAGGAGCTGATCCCGTAGCCGTTCATGAAATCTGGGCACATCTCATACGCTATCAAGTTCAAGAATGCGGGAAGCGTTAAATCGTCCACGATCAGCTTGTTAAGCCAGGGTCTCCCAAAACCCCTGCGAGTCATTCCCCAATCGAATCTGATATCCGTAAGTTTTTTACCATCTCCCTTGGCCACCGAAATCCCTGCTGCTTTAAGCTCCTGTATGTTGGAAACTTTTGAGATCCCCGTTTCGTTAGGTCGTCATCTTTCCTATTATCACAGTCATCATCAACCGGGATGAATATGCGCAGAAGATGCAGCAAATGAGGTCGTTGCTCCACTGGTATTTCCACCTGTGGTAGTCGATTCCCAGTTTTTTTTTCGTCGGTGCTCCCTGGCCGGTGATCCTGTTCGTCTGGTACCTGGACAAAAATTGCTTTATCCAATCGTCCAACTCGCTCTCGTGTGCATTGCTCAACAGCCTGAGCAGACGATAGGGAAGTGGTTCTCCAGAAAGAGCAGATCCTGCTGCGCAAGGACCAGCTGATCTTCCTTGATCTTCAGGTCTTCCTCTGGGCGCTCAGTGTTCACTTTTTGGAGGAATCCAAGTAGGGCACACGCGTCCAAAAGGAATATCCATGCAAGCTCCTCGTCCTTACCGAGGAAGCCTTCAATGGCGTCCTCGGTGTAGAGCTCCTTCAGTTCCTGCAGGCGACTTTGAATTTTTTCAAATAGCGATTCAGCACTTTGTTTGGTATCTTTAAGGTACATTGCTGCCCACGTCATCTTGTAGCGCTCTCCTCCCTTGAGATTTTCCCCATGATGGATGGGCCCGAATGATACCAGCTTGGGGAAGTTGTACCTGACTGCCTGGCCAAGTCTTCTCGATTTCGAAGATATAGTTGAACTTTTTGTATCTTGGGAATGGCTTTTAGAGTTTGGCCATCCTCACTTCCAAGAGTGCCCTTTTTCTTTTCGAGTTCGGCTAAGCTGCTCTTCAACTTTTGTGGCAAATCTGACGGGGTTGCTGCTCTCTCATATGAGCTGCATGACCAATCTGATGCAAGCCATCATTCAAGTGTTTGAGAGGAACTTTGCTAAATTCTAGGGCTCTGGTCAATAACTACAGACACTCACGCACTCTGAACAATTTAAAGTACTCTGCATAGGATGAACCTTAAAAAAAAAATGCCATAGGAGTATCTTGCTTTGTTGATATTTTAAGTTTGGAACCAAACATACTTCATCCAGAAAAAAGCATTATTTCTACTGACTAGTCACAGCGTATTCCACCAGCTTTGCTTTAAAAAAGAAATATGGAATATTTGTGACCCTTGTACTTCAATAAAGTACAAGGTAAAAACATATTTCCATCAGGTAAAAACAGTGTGCAATGTGATGCATGCCATACAATAAAGTTTGAAGAAAGAAATATCTAAACATATTTCAATAACTTAATGACAACTTTTTTAAGTTGTTAATAAGATTTTTTAGTAATTTTTTTGGACCCCACTATAATTCTCGCTTGCTAAAAGCCTAAGATAGACACTTCTTGGAGAATGCGGCAAAATATGTTATTCACCGGGGGAAATAAAAAAATCAGTCCCTTCTTCTTGGGGAGAACGAAAAAAAAAAAAAGGTCCTTTTGCTCAGCAGTAAAAAATGCATTATACTACCTCCGGTCCTTAATATAAAATTCTGTTTGACTTTTATTTTGGTCCTAAATATTAGACTCAAATCCACTCTGTCTCTCATTTATACATTTTTTCCCCTAAAGTAACCCTTCTAATAATGATAGTTCTAGTCAATACACTTGATTAGCAAGGATACTTTAGGAAAGACAACACATATTTATGATAAATAATTAATTCAACTTACTTCCTTAATCTCCTTAAATTATTCAACCGGCTCTTATAATTAGGACCAGAGGTAGTATTTACTATAAATCATGCTTTTGAATTTTATTTTGGTTCTAAATATAATATCTCAATCTATTTTCTATCTCAAATTTATTCTTTTATAGCTGATACACTTAATTAATAAGGATATTTTAGAAACGATAACACTTATTTATTACAAATAATTAATATAACTAATTTTTTTAATCTATTTAAATTAATTAATTAGTTATTATATTAAATACGGGTAGTATGTTCCAGCCTCCGCCTAATCTCCCCAACATCAATTGGTGGGGGCACCCCAATTCGTCACTCTTTGAGCAAGAGAATTTTACTTTCACACGGCTGTTTCCTGATCATCGAAGAATGGTCAATGAAGTCATTTGGAAAATCAGTTGCACCTTCCCATAGAGAAAAGTCAAAATCAGACATGATATCGCGGACACGGAGCATGTCGCAAACGAGGACAAAACGGAATTGGATTCTCTCCACTATCCTTCTAATTTTTTTTCCCTCCACCACCTTCATTTTTTCTTTATAACTATTGGATCAAAACTTTAATGGTCTAAATTTAATATTTTATAATAATAAATATTATGATAAAAAATAGATAAATAAATTTAAACTGTTAAAATCTAATATGAACAGTTTATAACTATAGACTGTTATTATAGAGTAATTTTTTTTAATTTTTTTATTACAATTGTAAACTGTTCAGATCATATTTTAACAGTTTAACTTTATTTATTTTTTTTAATAATATTATTTTTATAAGATGTTAAATTTGAACTATTAAAATTTTAATCCAATAGTCATAGAAAAAAAAGGCAGTAGAGAGGAAGAGGATGGGAAGGTAGTGGGAAGAACCGGGCGGGGACAAAACACTCCGAATGCCGCCCCCCATGCGTTCTTATATTTGGGGCTAAATCCATCACGCCCATCTCAATTCTTTAAGTCGCATTCTGGAAACTCTGGTGAAGAGTAGTTCAAACACAACGATGGCAGACCTCTTCCTGAAGCAGGCAAAGCAGTATGCAGCTTCGAGGCCAGGTTACCCTTCCCAGCTCTTCCGCTTCATCGCTTCCAAGACCCCTTCTCACCAGGTCGCTTGGGACGTCGGCACCGGAAGCGGCCAGGCTGCCCAATCTGTGCGTTCCCTTTTTCTCTCCTTTACATTCATCCAGTAATTCTGCTCCATTTCCTCATTATTAGCCTGTTTAGTTTTCCCCCTTCGTAAAAGGAGTACATTGATACAGGAATATGAATTTTTGTCAAATCGAACGATCTAACCTCATCGTGTATCTATTACTTATCTAACCTCATCATGTATCTATTACTTACTCGTGTCCTGAATCCGGTCCAAATTAATTTCAGTTAGCTGAGATATACAAGAATGTGATAGGCACGGATGCGAGTGAAAAACAGCTTGAATACGCAGTGAAGCTCCCGAATGTGCGATACCAGCACACACCTTCAACCATGTCAATGGCGGAGCTGGAACAGAAAGTGGCACCGGAGGGAACCGTAGACTTGGTGACCATCGCTCAGGCCCTCCACTGGTTTGACCTCCCGACCTTCTACCGCCAAGTGAAATGGGTGCTGAAGAAACCTCACGGAGTGATTGCCGCTTGGTGTTACAACGTGCCCCGAGTGACGGACTCAATAGATGAATTGTTCGATGAATACGCAGTTGAGCTGAAGCCCTATTGGGATCCGGCACGCGCATTGGTGGACAACGATTACAGGGGCATCGATTTTCCGTTTGAGCCTGTGGATGGAGCGGACGACACAGGGCCGATTGAGTTCGTGACGGAGAAGGAGATGGATTTGGATGATTTCTTGACGTACCTGAGATCAGGGTCAGCGTACCAGACGGCGAAGGAGAAGGGAGTGGAGCTTCTGAGCGAGGATGTTGTTGAAAGGCTTAAGAGTACTTGGATCGAAGATGGATCTCAGCTTAAGGTTGCCAAGTTTCCAGTTTATCTCAGAATTGGAAAGGTGGGAGACGCCTGAAGGTGCCAAAGCCATTTCTCTTACCGGAATATGCCTTTTTAAGTTGTAACCGAGATATTGCAATAGAAGTCTCTTAAAAAAACGGTACAATGTGGTCCAGAGAAAAGGATATGGTATCGCATGGATATGCATTGTCCAAATACTTCATCGTTAATACTTTACCCACTGATGTCAAATTATTAAATTTTATGACAAAAAATGTCATTATTCGCATAGTATTTTTCCAAGCACAAAGAAACTATCAATTTCTTCTAAAATAACATAATATATACTATCAATATTTTTATACTATAGCAATATTTAACTATTTCTAATAGTAACTGAACATCTAACTTGTGATCCAGGTGTTGGGGAGGATAATGGCTTACCATTGACCATCCCTGATTTCCCCCCGGCGTTTGGCGGAGTGAAGAAATATTAAGAGAATGAAAATGCTATTGCAATAAAACTCTTTACAACTCAAAACTAAGTTCTGCATGTTATGATAAACGAGGATAAACTCACATTAAAGATTGAATAGGCTGAAATGGACTGTTTAGATAAAACATACTCTCGTATAATAAAAAAAAATAATCAAGTAGATTGAGGTATTATTTTAAATTTAACACCCAACTAGCTCTCATATTAAAAATAAAAAATACTATAATATTTTTAATTATTATTAATGTTTTAATAAAATTTAATTTTTATTTTCTTTTTGCCAACAAAATTTAACCTTTGTAAAAACAGTTACTCACACTTATTTATTAATAAATGCATCCTTTCATGGACTGAAAACTTTTAGATGCAAGGATGTACCTTTTTTAAGGCCGGAAAAAACCAAGTAAATCGTCCCAGGGTAGCCAAAGCGTAACTCCCGCAGTGAGCAAATTTGTAAAACTTCCCTCTGTTGCCTAAAAAGATAATACCACTTTGCATTGTTGATATAAAAGCTAATTTAATTTTTAATTTAATTTTAAATACAAAATTTTAATTTATTTTATCTTTTATATTTATTTATTTTTTTAAATCGTAATTTTAGTTAATACATAATTAACAATGATATTTTAAAAATAAAAATTAATTAAAAAATAACACGTAATTATTATAAATAATTAATTCAATAAACTTATTTAACCTATTCAGTGAATTAGTTTTTATACCAACCAGAGGTGGCGGTGATAAAAATCCTTAAAATCCCTAACCTATATATACGAACCTCTTTTGCTCCCCGCACATTTCAGGCGCTGAGAGCGTTATTGCGCGATCTCGAAAATGGACAAGATAATCGAGTCCATCGGTTCGTTCTTTGGTGGCAGCGATCAGATCCCTTGGTGCGACCGCGACGTCATTGCTGTAAGTTTCTCAATCTCATGTTTCCCCCGCCTCTGTTCCCCTTTATTTGCTGATACAATCTCTTGCTGGAATTTGAAACCTTGAGCTTTTTAATGTTTTTCGAAATTCCTGTGTCTGTACCCAGAACTCGGGATCGTCAATTTCATTTTTTTCATAATTTTACAGATCACATTTAATTCATAGCTCGGTTCTTTTGTTTTTGACCAGCATATCTCGGTTCACTAGCATACTTGTTATCATCGTGACTTTGAACAGGTTCAGTGTACCAAATTCAGAGTTTGGGCTGGAGCGTTCCTTTAAATAGATTTGTTAATTTTCTGTGTTTTTGGTGTCGGTTGGGGCCTTGGCGAAGCTCTTCATATCTGAGCGCTGCTTTTTTTCCGTATCAACAAGAAAATGTATTTATTTCTGGAGAGGGTGAAAAGAAAAACTGAAGCTTTTTATTCGTAATATCTCATGTTGAAATTCTTTGAATAATCGCAGTGACGGTACTGCAGATTTTACTACCTCACTTGTTAATTTTTATCTGGCTATCATGTTGGTAGTAGCGTACTCGCTCGCGCTATCCTTCTGCTATTTTCTTCCATCAGTCTAAATTATTTTGTATATTCTGGAGGGCTGTGAGAGAGAAGTTTCGGATGCTTCAAATGGTGATTCTGAGGAGCGGAAGAGTGAAAGCATCATGAGATTGTCGTGGGCGCTTGTTCATTCAAGGCAACCAGAAGATGTGCAACGGGGGATAGCCATGCTTGAAAGTAACTTCACAGAATAAACTGAGTGCTTCATATTTCTTTCATAACGTAGATGTTCGTTATAATGCTACTTTTATTTGCCCTGATTGCAAGTCTATACGTATTTGAGAAAAAATTCCTTTCTGTTTCTGGTGTTTTTCTAATTGCGGTAATAATTCTGAGTTTATTTTTTCTTAAAATATTAATCATTATTTTGTATGTTCTTGCCATTTCATTTAATCTCCATAACACTGCATAATCTGCATTAAGTATAAGCATCTTTTTTCCTTCCTGCACGGCTGCTGACTACGATTCCTCTGCCTATTATGCCAAACCAAATCATGGTAGCACATTTTGCAGCCTGAAAACGTGAATGTTAATTTTCCAACAATATACTTTTGCCCCGTGATTTATACTGTCATGATCAATGAAAACCAGAATGCTAATGTCAAAAGGCCTTATATTTTAGCATGCTTAGAAACTGTTTAAAAGAAATAGCCTTTTGCAGCCTCAACTGTATCATTTGTAATCCTTGTGATGTGATTTGCAGCTTCTCTGGGAAATAATACCAGTCCTTTGCACCAAAGAGAGAAGCTATATCTTCTTGCTGTTGGATATTATAGGAGTAGTGATTATTCTAAGTGTCGGATGCTTTTGGATCAGTGTTTAGAGGTCTGTCTTTCTCAACTCAATTTCTGTATGCAACTAACCGTCCCGTGTAATTTTGTTGATGCTGCTGGATTATATAATATGTACTATTGTATTATATTTGTGTTGTTTCACTTGAAGGCTGGGAGTACGAGTTTATGACCTATCTAATCCCCATCAAACATCTGCCTTTTGTCTTACGGACTGGGGAATAATCTGTTTTCAACTTCGAGGTTTTCTCTTTCAGTGTACTCAAGACCTAGTTTATCCTTGATTTTTTTTAATTAACTAAATGTTCTTATATTATAAACGTCCTGGATTCTGCACCATATTAGGAGGTTGATTGTATTTTTGCAGATAAGTCTGTTCATGCTAAACCAGCCTGTCTTCACCATAGCCTTTTTAAAATTCAATCTTCACTGTCTATTTGGGCATTTTGTTCTTGCAGATTGCACCTGATTGGAGGCAGGCTCTGTCCCTCAAGAAAACTGTTGAAGACCGAATTGCTAAAGGTTATACTGCCATTTGTGTCTTGAGCTTATTTTTTTATCACATAATAGCATTAACTAAAGGGATTGCAAATGTTATTTGTTGAATTTTATTTATTTTTTTGATAGCCAGATGTCATTTGTGTTAACGCAGATGGTATTATTGGAATTGGCATCACTACCGCAGCTGTTGGACTTATAGCTGGAGGACTTGCAGCAGCGTTTGCCCGCAGGGGATGAGACATTCCCTACTCATAGAGACATGCTTGCGATTTTGGACTCTTGTTTTAGTTTTCTTCAAGAAGCGTGTTAAAAGGTCAATGAGTTGACAACTGCTACTTCTAACGTTTTAAATCCTCTCCAAACATTAAGATACACAAACCGTAAAAGAATTACTGTTTTTCAGTACGATACTCATTCAATCAATAGCTACTCTCTGCTGTCATGAACGAACTAATAATTCCAAATCGTTAGATAAGTAACTAATTATTTTGAACCGTAAGCCGCAATAACAATGATTTTCAGCTAAAGAAGGTTAACGGTCTACTTGCTGCCTTTCTATGGCGAAAGGCCTGGTTATTGGGGTCAACGATAGAACGGGTCTCATGTGAGCCCAGCACGCACGCATGATTTGTTTCGTTTGAGCCGCGAGGAGGACAAATTATTTGGGAGTTTGAAAATTTTTTTCCATTTAAATCAAGACAAACTTTTTTCATATATTTACCTTGTATAAGTATACCATAAAATCACCTTTTAAAAAGCTAATCGAAACATGTCTTCTCTATCAATGAAGGGCAGAAGTAAGTATTGGGGGGGAAAAGAAAAAACGCTTCCTTTTCGTTTGTGCGGTTAAATTGGAAAGCGAAATGCATAAAAAATACCATTGGCATTTCAATCCGAAGGCAATACATGTTGGAGATACTCAGATGGGAAGTGTCCAGTGCTTCATCTGCGTCATCCACAATTGCAGGCAAAACATGAAGAAACAATAAATACGACACCTCATTTATCGACTCAAATCCTTGCCTGTTTCGATTCCATTCTGGCGAGGGCAGCGTCAGTTTCTAAAATGCAGTAAACTTGGATATTCGACAGCCCGTTTCCTCGACTGTAAATTCTGACAAATAGTTATATTTATTTTTAACTAATGAGTTATAATATCTATAATGACCCGTTAATCCGAGTATCTTTGTTCCTTCTGAAGAGCAGGGGCAGTTAATGGGGCTAATTGATGAAGTAATGAACAATCACAAAGTAAAAGTGCCTCACAAATATCAACCAGAAAGCCCAAAACAAGAAGGAATCGAAGGTAATCATTGTCGCAAGAAATACGTCGACGCTAATGATGAGAAATTCATCAACCAAGACAGAATCGACAATCATGAGCAACAAGCAGGGCATCTTATCAAGCCGTTCTCGTTACAATCTGGGCACCTCCTTAACCGTGCTTCTTCCTGCTCGAACACCTTCCTGCTGCCATTGCAATTAAGGCAGGGTACAAACCTAACACCTCCACAATTCTCACACTCATATTCTCTATCTTGCTCAGGAAGACCCATCAGCAGTGTTGCTAATTCTCCAGACTCATTCATCTTCTTTATTTCCTCTGCGCCTCCCACGTGCTTTCCCCTTATGAACACCTCCGGCAGTCTCACTGCTCTGTTGCCTCCTACCGCATTCTGCAACTCTTTCCTATACGACGAGTCCATAGAGATGTCCTTTTCATCCACTGCCACCCTGAATCCCCTCAGTATCATCCTCACCGCACAGCAATCTTCGAAAGTCTTTCGGATCCCTCTTAAACTTGTGAAATATACCACTATTTTATCTTCGGTACCCTGTAAAGGTGGCCAATGCAGATTGTTAGAAAACGTTGAGTATGATGGGCTAGACCCCGTGGAGGTGGCGCCTCTGGAAAAACTGCTTCCTAATCGTCTGGATGATAATGCTCGCCGGTAACTCCAAGCCACATCTGGGTCCAATTTAGCAAGCAAGGCTTCCTCAGATAAATGTTGCCATAGTGGCTTACTCTCCCTTATTTTTTCTGAGGATTCAGGTGATTCAAAAACTTTCTTTGCAGACCCTTCTGAAGTAGGTTGATTTTGAACACTCGTAGGTTGGTCAAGAATGGAGCAATGGGACACGGTTGTGTCTTTAAAGTCATCGTCTAGGCCGTCCATTAGTTCCCATGTGTTGATGACACAGTCTGGGGTCAATGATTGCCGTGCCTCTGTTTGGTTTAGTTTATCTTGAGGAGAGATCTTGTGTAGAGAATGAGGCTCCATGGAGGTAAAGCTCATGTTTTGTAGGTGTGACTGGTCAATTAGGAGAAGAGAACCGTAAGTGGTGGAGGTGAGGGACACAAGGTGGTGGGTGTCACCTTTTCTTGTAGGGGGGTGATGGACTAGAGGCATTGGTAGAGAAAGAGATCTTGGAACTGGTGAATTCGAATTGGAGAGGTACGAAGCTGGAGATGGAGAACAAGAAGAAGCAAGAGGAGAGGAGCAATCCTCACTGTTTCTGGCGACTATATTGACTTGTTTTGAGGCTGAGCAGCCCATGAATGCAGAACTAGATAGTCTGAGTAACTGATGAATTTGCTTTACCTTTTTGATACCTTACCTTTGCTTCGTCTTCTTAGGACTATTCTTTTTCTTTTTTCCCCCTTTCAGTTTCTGGGTTCGTCTTCGTCTCTTAGAAGACTTTTGTATGGACTAATTCTTGTGCTTTTACAGAAAGAGCGTTCTAAAGGTACAATGATTTCAAGCGTATGCATGGAGGCTTTAGAAGGAACTGGAAAGGAAGAGAGACAGAAAAGAAAAGAAACGAAAAGAAAAGTTGTGGGGATGAGAAGGCGCTGTCAAGAGGGTTGGATGGGAAAGATGGCAAGCATTAATGATGCCAAAGGGACCAGAAATGGCGGTTTGGAGCTTTTAAATTTATTAGGCGATAAGTGATAATATCCTTCCGGCAAATGGAACAAAGAGCATTCCAAAGACTACTATTATGATTAACTAGCTTTATTTTATATTAAAAATAAAATTAGGGGGTCTCCCAATGTACAAATTATGAGGAATAAATTTTATATTCATTTAATGTTTTAGAATTGGATAGAATATGATGCTCATGTACCATTTCTAACGAATCACTTCTGATTGAGCAAATCCAACTAAGATTAATTTGGCATGAACAGTCTGTCAAACTCAATATCACTATCATCTCATCATTTCTAGTCAAATTAGTATTATGATTTGAAAATAGTGAAACCCATCAGCATTCATTTAATAATGTTCGTCCGAGAGAATTGGCACTATCTGTTGAGGGAATTTTAGGCAGATGAAGCAGGAAGACAACGAATGCCTCCATCCTGGAGACTCGACTAAGAATTTTCATGTAAAGGTAAGCAATATTGAATGAACATGCACTTGATGAGTGAAATAGGGATCACTGGACACTAGAAGCAGACAAAAGAAGCGAGTCATGATGAGAAATAACGAAAGGGGAAAAAGAAGAAAGTGAAGAATTTAATATGAATTTGCCATAGCCATCATTAGGTCCCTCAGAAGCTGAAAGAATCGGCCATTTAATAAATGCGGAGGCCCACAAAACAAACCTTCAGATCCCAGACAGGCCACAACTGCATTATTCCAATGGTGGGTCTGGGCAGCTAAAGCAGCTGTCTCATCTGCTTTAGCTGTTTCACTGGTAACCCTTTTCAAATTTGAAAGGATGAAAAAACTTTTACAGATTTACGGTGAAGGTTAGTGTGCTTCACATGGCTCTTCGCTTCCAAAAATTGTTGGCGAAGGTAAGTTTGTAACACATCGTCAGTTAAAAGAAGACACGTACAATTGGTAGTGAGCCCATTACTAACTTGCTTGAGGTCGCCGCTCCATTATTTATTTGCAGAACCTCGCACTTTCAAGGCATTGACGCTTTTGCTGTAAATGGCGCTAGGAGAGCAATAATACCTACTCTCCTTACTAATGTTGGGGAAAATCACATCCAGACGTCACAACTCTCTAACATTTACAATTGAAAGAACTTAAATTATTCAGACAGTTTAGATGACATTCATTTTGTCATGAATAAATTAAAATGCTCTTGTTAAAAAAAACCCAAATTTTAAAGATAAAAGTAAATAAATTCGCTTATTTATTTTTTTTGGGTTACACGGGACAGGATCGAACCCACAACACATGCCAAACAGCCAGTAAAGCAAACACCCCCCCCCAAAAGAAAAAAGAAGGGGAAAAAAAACTAGAGTACAGACCCAGGAAAAAATTTAATGAAGATTGAATTGATAATCTTATTGATACTCTTATATTTACAATTTGCGCATGAACATTACATGAGTTTAAGGCGATAAATAAGTAGTCGGGTGTCATAATCTTTATCTCTTAAACCGGTTTTGATCTAACCATCCACCTTACAAGTTTAGGCATACTTCTCAGACGCTAACAGTTCCAGAGATTATTCGATCAGTTGTGTAGCAGGACACAGAACTAGAAGTTGAATATAGAAACTAATGCGCGTCCAAAGCGGATAAAATTGGAGCTGCCAGCACAAAATAATAAAAGACTGATGCCACAAGGCCTGAGGTTGTATACGAATATTCCGATTACGTGATTTTAGCAGGCATACACCAAATGGATATGAGACTGGTGCAAAATCCAATCATGGGGACATGCTCATGCTTATCTGATCAGCATCGTGTAATGTTCAAATCATGTATCCTAGCAACTGTTGTATGGATAAAACTTGAGAGTTCTTCCTTTTAAGTCTTCATATCATTCCTAGCCGTGTTTCCATTGGTCAATAAAGTCTTCATTTGCTGCTGATTTTACTCCTAAAGTGCACATTTTCAAGAGCAATCCACAACTCCAATCATCAAAATGCAATCCATGCAAAGTAGATTTTCTAGTATCTAACAATACGTAGAAAAAACTAATTTTACGTCACACAAAATACCAAAGACCATCACCACGTGGACCATGCTTTTCCCCTTCCATGCAAGCATTCCGGATTTCATCTCCCATCACTAACCTATGACATCAGAGATCTAGAAAAATAAAAATGTTCTTCACCCAATACTCAAATTTTGAACACATGTTGACTTCAAGACTTCTATTTACAAGCAATTTATTCCTAAGGAAGCTGATGAACCTGCAAGCAAGGTAAAATATTCTTAGGCGATTGGCAAAAGCTCTTTTCTATGAATGTAGTAATAGTGATTTCGCAATAAAGCAGCTGATTTTTTATTTGCCCATAGTCCAGCAGGGTGTATTATCAAGAAGGTTTATGATGTAATTTGATCCCTACATTACAATTTTTAAAAAACATTGAAAAAAGGGATACCTGAAAGTTGCTGATGACTAGGTGTTGTCTATTTAATCACTTCCGAAGTCTTCATAACTCAAGCCTTCTGATACGGAATCCAGCCTTTTATTGTCCGCTTTAACACCATGACAATATTAAAGTTAGCAGCCATCTCAAATCTTTCAAAATAACGGATCTCTTCGGAGGTTTTTCCCTTCTTTATTTTGAAAGAGGAAGTGATGTTTCTCACCTTGTTCTCCTCTTTCAAGGAAGTTCTCATCAGTAACTAGGAAGGGAGACCGTGAATAGTTTTCTAGTATTTCTGACAAATGAGAAGCTGACGGTGAGAAACTAGAGACTAAAACCAAACTCTTAAAAATAGGCATCAACGATAACCTGACCAACATTTTTCAAGCTCCTTCTATAATCAACCAAGGGGAATCATGAAAGCATGCAGAGGTAAACATGGATGGACAAAAAGTCAGAGAGAAAGAAGACTAACCAGAACGCTGAGAAAAATCAGCAGTCAGATCAGAAAGGCTAAAAGTTCTAGGAATCTGCCCCAAAAATCCAAATGAAGCAGCAGCATCTGGAACCAAAAGTGGCATTGATTGACAGTTGGACTCGACACTTGGATATGATGTGACTGATGCATCACCAATAATTGGTCGTGTCTCCAAGACACTATTACCAGCACCAAACATGTAAGGAGAACTGCGTGAATATCCAGGTTCTGACTTGATCATTCCCCCATTAATTCCTTGCATCAGGCCCATGTTAGAGTTTTGAGCTGACAGTAGGCTTGGGGGGGCATCAATCCTATTGGGATGAGACATCTCGACTGTATTATGCATGCTTGTGCACAAGGAAGATCCGTCATTATTAAACACACTCTGTAAACTAGAACCAACAGGATGTTGCATATTTTCAGGCTTCAGAGCCGTTCCCACATGCTCTGCAGCAAAGCATGCGGGATTCTGATGTACTGTAGCGCAACTAACATTTATTAGAATATCACGTATAGAATGAAAATTAAATTTAACGAAAAAAGATGGAATCAACCATATACCATATAGGCTTTAAACACTGAAACAGATAACTGGTTTTTTTTCCTTCTATTCACATTTTATCCATTCAATGACTACCACCTTTTTGATTACTCTGGAACATTAATAACTTTTCATACAAAATTTATCACCTGAAACAATATAAAACCAATAATATTATATCCTTGTCAAGCAGAATTTTATTTAAATTTAGTAAAATACACACACAAGATGCCTTCTATTGTAATCTGAACATTAAACAATATTTGGATATTTTGTAATGGACTGACATGAGCAAAAGCTAATCAATTAAATGAAACCACCACATCATGTGCCAAGCACCTCTTGATACTACAATTTGAAAACACATCATTTTATGATCTGCAATAGCAAATTGATATTGCATCTTCTTCCTATACATCCAAAGAAAACTAATCATTCTTGGTAAAAGCCAGAGTTTAAGTACTATAGTTTTCAATTCCTTAGCATTTCAGTAACTATTCTAAAAAATATGGTCTGTCCTGTGCCTGTTAAATGACCACAAAGAAGTAACGCAACCATGAAATCAATTTCAAGGATCATCATAACTGAAGGGAACATTCCCAGTGGTTGAAAACTTGATTGTATATTGATTTAAGCACCAATTCAAAGGATAGATTAGTACAAAATGAGTAAGTCGTACTTTCAGCAAGTCCGGATGCCATAGCATTAAAAGAAAAGTTTGGTTGAAATAAATGAAACCAAAACTCAGGGAAATGATAAAAACTCACATGCAGAAATATGCGACCCATTAGAGTTAGGTATTGATCCAACTGCAGTTGGCTGTAGTTGATTCATTAAATCCATCTGCCGTTCAAGCAGCCTGTTGAACTCAGTTATTTGCTGCATCACCACCAATCTTAAATAGTAAGCCTTGAAGAACTCCTGATTTTCTTCTTCAAGCTTTTGCCAAACTGAAAAAGAAGAAAATAAAAACATTGAATATAGAAATAGTGGGTAAAAAGTAACCTTCAGCTTTTGACTAAAATGCTTATTCTCATGATTAAAAAGCAGTTTCAACATCACGTTAGTAATCTGTTGAGTTTGATCAAAACGTGGTTTAGACCAAAGTAATATGGGATTGAGAGGAAAAACTTGGTCTTCAAAGTTGCAAAATACTTTTCCAAGTGAAAAGCTAACACACATAATCAATGACCAAATTTTGCTGTTGATATTCCTGTAACTCAGAAGTTCAAAATTACCACTAAAAGTTGACGTCCCTTTTAACGTATCAACTGAAAACCACCAACGAGGCAATGACCACTCAGCTTGGCAAACAATCACCCTCCATTATAGCATTGATGGGCATTCATGTAAGATGGGAAGCACTCCCAAAAGCTAGCTATTAAGGTG